TGGTATGTTGAAAAACATTAATTTATATCAAATGTGGTACGTTTGTGGTAATGAACTCGATTTATATTAGTTTTACCGATCAGTACAATAATTTATTTCATTCACATTTATTTATTTGATACTTTGTTCAGTGTTATAACTTCAAAAATTTACATTTTACATAAGTAAGAATAAAATTAATTACCACCCCTTTTTATCTTTTATTTTACATATTTTTATTTGTAGAATAACAAAAACAGAACTCTAAATTGATAACTTTAATATTTCACTCAAATCATGACGAACCTTCGAATAATCCTCTGTATTTATATTTTTATTTGATCTAAAAATAAAACAATGATGGAATTTTATTTGTTGATAAATGCGGAACGATGATTCGTCGCGTTTTTTTTTTTTTTTTTTACACATCTCCAATAAAACAGTTATATAACGACAATCAAACATTATGTTATCATCTTATCTGTTTTCTTTGTTACAGAGATAGTTCTCTATCTTAGTACAATAACATAATCTTTTAACAACTCTAGGTTTTCACTCGTCGAAAGCATTTTTATGAGAAAAAAAATATGTTTAGTTTGGAACGAAAATAGAATATTAACTAAATATATTGAAAAGATGATTATTTCTTGTTACCATTTTTTCTGATCATGAGTCAGTGCATCCTAGTTTAATTAGAAATTTATATTAAAGAATCTATACGTAATCGCGGACTATGTTTCATTATGTTCTTTTCCGGTTTGATATCATTAAATATGTTCTATCTTTGTTATAAACGAATGTCAATGTTTTACAGTTAGTGAAAAATCGCAATTTAATAACAATTATTACAAAGCTGCACAACGTTTTTATTAATAACACACGCAGTGATAATGGATGAATTCGAATGCACCGTTTCAACAAAAGATAACGGTTAATAGAACAAGCATTTGCCTTCTGATTCTTCTAAAGAGATTAAAGCGATGAAGGCTGCATATTTTAAAATAATTATTCAAACTTGAGGAAGTTAATGTGTTATGTCGTAACTCATCTGTTATTAAAGCCAATGCTTAATAAATTTGACGAAAGATTTTCTTTATTGCATAAGATGTAAATCTAAAATAATACTTCATTGATTAATGAATAAAATAATGACGATAACACGATGGATTTTATCTTTCATCCTCTCAACCGGTGAATTATGTCTGCCATTCCTTTTCATTTGGAACCGTTTGGATTTGTAAAACGGGTTTTGATAGATAGATAGATTTGTATTTTTGTAAATACCCTCGGGCTCGGAGCATACAATCTGTTATAACGATCTTCCCGTTCAGAAAACTAAAGATTTCATTCGGCATTGACACTTCCCAACGATCCATTTATAAGACAACCGAGGAAGAGAAAGTTTTCTCAATGTTCCAAACAGACCTTTTAACTTTTGAAAGGAGCTTTATCAATACCGGAGGAATTTTATCTGTGACTCCACTTTAAAAGAGAGTTATTTAAGGCCAGCTCTAGGATAAATAGTGACTAATTAGGTTGTGCCATTGATAAGAGGCGGTATCTAGCAAGGACAGGCGCTAGGCAATAAATATTTATATTGCTATCTGTCGTGTGGTGCCACCTAGCGGTCGAGTGTGGAAGCTGGTAGGAAGGGCGTGCCGACAGAGCGCGCCACCCCTCAGCGTTATCAGTTTATACTTTGTAATTGATTAGGCTGGCAGATGGGAGGGCGGATAAGGGGAGAGATAAGGACCTCCATTATATTCAGATCCGATTGGTGGAGCGGTCCTCCTATCGCCCCGTGAGATCGCCAACTTCTTAATGAGTTCCACGAAGGCTGATAACCAACTAATTGCCTAGCCATAATGATAGTGTTCCCTTATCATTCTAGATCGTCGCTCCCGGCCGCACATCTCCTTTGTACCATCCACCTTTTCCACCAATAACTCACCCTTTCCCACCCAGTTTGTTCCTAGATAACTGATCCCACGATAGTGACAAACCTAATATTGTGAAGGCTAAAACTGTAGAAGATCACATCCATGATGTAAGGTTTGCGCAAGGACAATGTCTCGATTATGTTTTCTCTGCGTATTAGGATGATGTTAAATGAAAAATAATTTTATTCTGGTAGCAGTCTCCTAAGAATAATGACGTTCAAGACGACACCTGTCGATTAACTGTTAATGACAACTGTAATTTCATACACGAGTAATTTTCATATGCTAGCGGAAGTTTGAATATAGAATATGTGATGGAATGGGTTGTTTGAAAGACTTTTTGGACAAGGATTGACGTGTGGAGATAGATAAGGTGTTCCTAATGGCGAATGATTTGCTGAATGAACTGTTTGTATGAAAGGGGATATATAGATTAATAGGTTGAGATCTGGTAATAAGAGAGTGGATTGGGGAACGTAGAGCATTAGCGGATCCAGGATTTAATTTTGGGGGGGCTTCAGCCCGAAACCTTTTTTTTTTCATAAAAATAACGATAATTACTTTGGAAAAACAGAAAGAAACTAACTACCTATATGCAATGGTGTTTAAGTTATTCCTTAAGTACTTTTAAATGTAATTACACGAACAATAATACTTTAAGAGGTATTTTTAAAAAAAAATTTCCCATAAAACATGGTTATATTTTTTCATTTTGGGCCCCCCCCCCCGTAGATCTGCCCGTGACGTAGACTAAGGAATGGATTTGTTATACTGCAGCCCGAAGAAAAGACAAATAATACTGTCCTCTCCAGCTGCTTTAACAATATCCTTTAAAATATTATTAATTCATAAAAATTTGTTTGAATATAAACATAAAATTTCATATAAATATTGTCGCTCACAAATATTGTCTAGTCTGCCTCTGCGTAAAACCGCTACTGATTATATTATCTTGGAAAGAGCTGAGAAAATATACCATGCATGTTGTTAAGTAGTCCCACCTGTGAACTCTCTTATCTCCAACGATCAATTCCGTTTTTTTTTTTCATACCATTGCTGATTCTTTCACTTCATCTGTATTATTCATTTACTATCATTCATTTATTTTTCAAAACTGAAACGAAACCTAAATAGTTATTCATACCTTCTTTTTAACCGTTTGTACATACTTCCCACAGCTATACGGCACAAAGGCAAAAACTTCAAATATTCTAATAAAAATAATAATATCCATAACAAAAGCACTTTGGCATCTTACAAAACTACATAATAACTCACAGAGACGTAACAACTGACTAATTCTAAGACTGGTTATATTGATCTTCCTTGCAATACGAAGCTAATAAAAATAAATATTGTGCTGCATAAGAGATCTTTAACTAACTGCTTTAATTCAGGGAAGAGGTGCTTCAGGATACTTTCTACGCCTGAGTTGTCTTTATTGAACGTATTTTTATCGTCCAACTATCTGTTTGCCAAATATTCTCGTGAGAATATTTGCTGATAGAAATTAACATTTGTAACTGCTTTACGAATACAATAAGTAAATTTTCCATTTGGTTTTAATAAAACAGTTAGTTGTAAGTAACCGATGCATTTACTGTGCTCCTATGACAATTCTGCGTTGTAAAACAGCTCCAGGTTTTCTTTTCAGATCCTTCAAAGAATTATCCGAAATTGATACGAAATTAAGGTTAGAAACTGAGCATTTCATTGTTTGTTTTGAGAGAAATTAATTCATCTATTCTGTTCAATATTTGATTTAATCGGAACATGATTTTATTAATTTTTTTAACAACTCGAGCCCATAATTTATTGGTCATATGCAAAAAAGTCGTTTTCTTAATTCAAAATTAATTACATAGCATTAGACTATCATTTTAAAAAATAAAGTAAGAATAAAACATCCAAGAGTGAAAATAAATTGTTGATAATTTTTGTGGCATTTCTATCGTTTTGAAGGTTAAAAAATATAGTTTAGTGAATTTTCTAGGTGGTGTATGTTACTATTTTTTTATTCTCATTATTAAATCTATTCCTAGTCTACGATTAATTTTACACTATTTCACTAATTGATTAAAGTAATCATACCGTAGGCATCATATTAAAGTATGTGAATACGTCCAATGTAAATTTTCTATTATGATTATTTGTTGTATGTAACATTTACGTACCTAACCAAGCTAATAAATTCGTAAAAATTATAATTATTTATATATATATATAATTGATATTTTTATTGTTTTTTTTCTTACTTTTTTTAATGATTATTGAATGCATTTCAATTATAATTTTGAAACTATAAATTGGATCTTATCTGATTTTATGTACATCCGCCAGCGTTGTATATCTTAATTTGCTATTAGGGGGTTTTCCGACTTGTCTGCCACTAGAATTCACAAGGGTTTTTTTCCTCAGAAACTTCTAAGGATATATAAAGATAGCAGCAGTCTGTGTATGGATATATGTAGTTAGTATTAAAATTAAAGTTTAGACTAATAATATTTATTCAGCATAACCATATAGCTGTACATAATAAGTAACAATAAGTATGGTCAGCCTTCCATAAAATGTACCACACAATTTTATTGTTATATTTTTTTTCTATTTGAATTCCATCAGACCACCCATTTAAAAAGATAAATATAAAAAGACCACCCATTTAAGATCAATATGATTTGGGGGGGAGGGGAATACATCACCTTTTTAACCATCATTTTCTTCTTTTTTTCGTGTAATTGTAATTAAAATACAGCCGATTTTGCATTACAGTTTATAGGTATCACGATTTCAAGCACAGCTTACTAATTGGTAGCTTTGGTATAAAAATTATCCAAAATAAGTGAAAAAATCAGTCCTCTCGTTCAAAAGATGATCGCAACAGAGACCAATGTTTATGGTTTCTTTTTTTTTTTTATTCTTATGAGGTCTTTAAAACAACTTTTTGCGACTAAAATACCTGTCTAGAACATCAGACATTATTTTTTTTTACTTTAAATATTAGAGATATATAATAGTATAAAATATTTATATTGCCGATAATTACTTAATGTGCTTAACTTCAATATATTTTATTTTCAGCGGGTGAAGAAGAAGACTGGACCGGTAATGGTGAAGAAAGGAAAGGTGACGAAGAAAAATCGGTAGCAGAAAGAGAGGAGAAAAAGATTAGGCAGCCGGAAAATTCTGCACCAGTAGCGAAACCGGAAATAGCACAAGGTAAGTTCTTGAATTGGAAAAACCCTATCATTTATTCAAAAGTTATTTTTCATATCAAACACGGTATTTTCTGTTTCTAGTTGTATATCTTTCCAACTAGAAACATTTTTGTTTTCAATTTAAAAATCAAATTTCTTCCATTTGTAGTTAAAATACAATTTTAAAAAATAAATACTTTTTTTAATTGTGGGTTGATGGTTGACTATCGTGAATAATGAAGAGAAGGATGGTTGGGGGTGATTAGTCAGAAATAAAAAGGCAAAAATAAATAATGATATTTATTTTAACATTTGCCGACGTTTCTACCTGAAGTTCAGGCCTTCATCAGAGCTGTTCGAAGAGATTGCTTGAAAATAGTGGTGTCTCTTTTCAAGCAATCTCTTTGAATAGCCCTGATGAAGGCCTGAATTTCATGTTGAAACTTCGGCAAATGTTAGAATAAATATCATTATTTATTTTCTGACTGATCGCCCCAACCATCCTTCTCTTCATTAAATACTTTTCATTTTCTTAAGGCCGTTCGTTTTCCCGAATGTCCATAACTCTCTCCAATCTCTTAACTACTGAGATTTTTCATTGTAACTTCTCAATTGGAAATAACTCAATTTAGAGTTATGAAGATGAGATTAAAAAGAACAAAAAATTTCAGAAGGGTATAGGGTAGATAGGCCATCAACATTTTTATGCTTGAGTGATGCCATAACATTTTTTTCTCTGAAAAGCTGAAACTATGAATATAATTAGATCAAAAAATATATATAGATCCATTTCTACCTGTGGTAATGTTTAATAAAAACTTTTTTCTGTTTTGGATATGTCTTGTATTCTAAACTGTCTTATACCTACAAGTTTTCAATATAATTTGATAACAATTTGTCTTTTAAAAAACAGAATGATTTAAAAAAAATAGATTTTTTGTTTCTTGTTAACTTAAAAGGTCCATTCTTATAGAATTCTAATCTTGTATTTCTTGTAATGAATTAATTGCCGTTTTTGAAATTTATAATATGGACATTCAATAATTACTGGAATGAGAAGAGGGAAGAGGGTTCAACATTTTATTTCTTACTTTAATGTTTAAATTAATAATCTAATGAAACTATTGAATAATAAATCTAATAAGACCTATATTAAATTTATTTCCTTGCTGCTATAAACTTAGATTTATAATTCTATATACTAAAAATATCACAACGGTTGACAATATAATCCTGTATTTAAAATTTAAATACTTTTCGTTTTGTTTTTTTCTTACAATAAAGTTGATAAATGTCTAAGAACTGTACAAATATTTTGATTCAGCTTCTAAAAATAACTAAAAACTATGCATTAGTATAGAAAAATCTTGAGCGTTTATCAGATACAAGGCATTATCTGTTTTGACAGTTTTCCTGTGATTGATACCCCAGTCAGTATCTTTATAATGGTCTATATCTTCTGAATGCCTTGATACTTAGTAGGGCAGTGTTATGGCTTTTTCTTTATTGTGATCAACTTTAATATTTCAAATTTCTACTTGACTATTAAATACTTCTGATGTTTGAATGAAAAAGTCTTTAAGTCATTTCTATTCTAGTAATCTTTATTGGCCAAAAGAATATCTACTGAATTTGGTGCCATCTTGAGAATACTTATGTAGTCAATGTTATTGAACAGGGAATATCTATCACTAGCATTAATATAATTGTTAAAAATACCCATCAGTCAGTCAATGTATTGACAAAATCTGTTACTGAATCAATAATATTGACTATGTAAGGGCCCTTTAGATAGTTTAGATACACACAGTGAATATATTTAGCATCCATTTCTACTTCTAACTTCAAAACTTCATCAAGTTTTTCTGTAGTTTATCAAGTTTATCAGGGAAATTAGAAACATACATGGGTATAAAACAGATAGTGCTTAGCCCTTCTATTTATGATCTGGGAGTAAAAAAACAATCTTAAACTTTTGATAAATAAAAATTAATATATTTACAATTATAGGAATCTATGGTTCCCTCTTAATAGAATGGAAAATAATTTTACTCTGGGACAAAGTCCATTTAGAATAACAAAAAAGTACAACATTAAAATATTATATCTAGCCTAAATAAAAACAAACACAAAAAGTAAAAATAAAGAGAAATAAGTAAAGAAAACATTAGTTAAAAATACTATATACAAAATTTAAAAAAATCTATATACAGAACACTTGCAACTATGCCAAGAAACTTAAAATTATGTACAGTGGTAAAACATAAATATAGACTTTTAGGAAAAATAAATAAAAAATACATTATATTCTTCTTAGAAATAAACTCTGTGTTTCTGTGGAGAAAAAAAAAAAAAAAAAAGCCGAATCTGATAGTCAAAATTGCCTAATCTAATAATCTAAAATTTGTGTTTAAATCTATTTAAACTTGATAATTCATCGGTACTCAACTGTATGAGAAGAAAAAACAAATAAAAAAACTACACAACATTTCATTTAGTGAATTTGATTTCAATTGACACCACAATGAACTCTAAATATGAATAATCATATCTAAGTATATCAAATAATAAATCCTATATGAAATTAAGTGTAGACAAAATTTTAAATGAAAATATAGTGATTTTGATGGACCCGTGGGGTTTGTTACAGGTTTGTCACCGTACGCTTGTGGTCCCTGTGGGATAAGATTCTCTTCGCCTAGCACCCTGGAGGCCCATCAGGCCTACTACTGTTCCCATAGGCCTCCCTCTACTTCAAGGGGTAAGTACCTTACAATACACTATTTTGAGTGGAAAAATCTAATTTTGATCCCTAAACTTTATTGAAGAATGATTTTAGAAAAATGAAAGGATTCAGCTAGGTGAAGCATAGATTTATAGACATCTTAGTAAATTGGAAGTTTATTGTTGGATCAGATTTTGAGCTTAGTTCTAGACTAAGCTACCTGTAAATGTAAGATTAGATTGATCTTGCTATAAAGTAAAATCCAGAATAAAATTAACCCAGAACAAATTTACTTTAAGGGAAATGGTAATATATTTGTTTAGTCCCGTAAAAGTTAAATCTTGGTGCTAGTAAATCTATGACAACATTAACCCTTGACTCAACAACCAAACATAAATGTTAACATTATATTATTTATAAATTTTTAGTGTTTTTCTTGTATATATGATTTGTTAGAATAAATTAAGTACGGTTGATTCAGATAAGTTTTTTTTTTAATTAACAAGATTTACAGTTTAAAATTTTGTCATTTATAAGTCTCTATATTTATTTACAATTAATAAACAGGAACATAAATTGGGAGTGGCAAGATGGCAAGGCCAAGGCCCATGGGAAGCCTCGAATAGACGGCAAAGATTTTTTTTTCATGTATAGATACCCAATTTTAAAAGTTGTCATATATTTAATCACTAATATTATTTAATTAAGATATGGGACAAAGTATCTTGTTTTGTTTCATATCTATCTATATATATGTCTATTTCATCATAATGAATTAATGCTGGGTTTAAAATAGACAGTAATTATTATGTCACCTGGTCTAGGTACTGGAGGGGTTCAAACTTAGTTGGCCCTACAAAATCATACTGTTGCCACTCATAATAAAGGATGTTAATTAATTTGCAATTAATTGATCCAAAATTTAAATTCAGACAAAAATTCGTATGTCTTTTACTGTCATAAACGAAGGTTCTCTATTGATAGAGGAAGCTTCACTTAAAGAAAAATGATTGCCAATTATCTCTTGGTGATATACTCCAATGTAAATTGCTTTTTCATTTATCTTAATGTATCGCTATTCAGGAAAACTGTGATGAAAAAGCTCATTGAGTCAAGCATCCTAGCATAGGCGGCAGACTTTTGGGAGTGAGAGGGGGACGATCATCTCCACAATAAAAATAGAGTGGGGGTGAGAATATCGTTTTCAAAATCAATTAAGAAAATAGGAAAAGTTTACTAGATTACTAAGCTAAAGTAGGCGGGGTGGCCGAATGGGCTAACGCGTTTGCACTGCACCGCCGTTGCCCGGCAACCTGATACATAAGGCTTAGATAAAAAAAAAATAGTCACGAGATGGCGTCCCGGTGCCTGCAGGAGTTTTTAAATCCCCGCCCACACTCCCTGGCCCTGGAAAACCCCCGTATAGCCTTAAAGGCGAAAAAAAAAAAAAAGATTAATAAGTTAAGGCCTAGAAGTAGGTAATAAGAGTATTTTACCATATCCTATGTTCCTACTATTGAGTTGTTAGTTTATATTCAGAGATAATTATATGTAGCAACATATCCTAGGATTTTATAATTTATTTATGGACACACTTATATTTTTATTTGAAGATCTTATCACATTTCCTGAGGCATATTTGAAACATCAAAAAATTGAGAGTTCATCTCATTGCCCCTCAGATATTTAAATAAAAACAAAAATTTATTCAATTGCTTTTTTTACATATTTTCAAATATACCCATATGCAATAACAAAAACTAATATATATGAATACATAAATTTATTTTTATATACAGTATTATATTGCCTGTTTAACAATAATTATGTTAATTTTCACTCATAATTTTTATACATGATATAAACTTCAAATATTTTTTTTGGGAGATCCCATCCGCCCCTACTCCCCCACAACCAAAATGGAAATTCTGCGCCTCAATGTGTCAAATTCAAATCAGTATTGGATCCCATCTGGATCACTCAACATTAACAATCCTGCAAAGTAAATTTTGAAACTCCCATTCTCAATTTAACAAAACCAAAAATCTTATAAAAGACACTGCTTTAGTGCCATTGTTGCTATTTTTTAATTTTTTTTTATTTTATAAACCTAAATATTGTTTTGTTTTTAGTGGACGGCGACAGTGGTGAAGATAAAGAAGAAAGCGGTTGCGAATCAGAACCAGGTCCAAAGAGTCCACGCTCTGGTCGCCTCTACCGGTGCCCTCACTGTTCCTACTCCGCTGACAAAAGGGTCAGCCTCAATAGGCACATGAGGATACATGGTGGTTCTCCTGGGTCCGTTGCACCCGAGCCTATTTCACCAGAAAGGATCGATAGGTACTGCCAAGACTGTGACATCAGGTGATTCTATATTATTGTCACATTTTGATTAAATTATTACCTTTAAGTCACTTAATATACTATAAATTAAATAATAATAATGAACTGTACTTAAATATCATTACTTGGCTTTGAATATTAAGTTATATTTTGAATATTTGTCAATTTTGGGAATTTTACTATGCCATTTTCTTTTATCTACATATTTATTCCACCCTTCTCAACTTTCTGGGATGTTCTCTTTAAAAAAATCACATTTTTTTTTTTTTATTTAGTTGGGGTTTCAATTTTGAGTAGATTGATTTGACTTCTTAACATTCTTGCAATTTTCTCAATATTACATTTTTATTGATGTTTTGGGATATTTTTTCCCCATCATGAGAAAATTTATTTCATGAATTTCAATTATTTCATAAAGTATTATTAATCACTTAGAAGTAATCCAAGAAACCAATTGATAGTCAATAGAATAACTCTTCACTATGTAAATTAAAGACAAACTTGACTAATATTTTATGTTGTATGACAGCAGGTGCAATAAGAATGAAGGTGAAATAATTGAAATTCGTGAAATAAATGGTCTGGTGATGGGTAAAACATTCCCTAAAATGTCAACATAAAATATAAAAGATTGAGAAAATAAAAAGAATTAAAGGAACATAAACTGTCTGATCAATCTTCAAACATTTTATTGAAGGCATTTTTGTGAGCTTTAAAAAACTGAGTTATTTATTCCGGTGTTTAAGAAATGCCAAAATTCTAATAAAATAGCAATAAAGATGAAAAGTATAGTAATAATGCTTGCTCTGAGTGTTTTTTTGAAATTAATTTATTGAAATAAAACTTTCTGATCCACATCCAAATTTCAATACAATCTAATTTATCTAGTTTTTTAAAGTATTGATATTTTTTCATTTAAATGAATTTCTTTCCATAAATATTTGTGATCTATGCCATTAGAACATCTAGGTGCCTCATTTAATTTTTAAATTCTTATTTTTACATATGCACAACAGTTTGAAATCAGTTGCAAAACTGAGAAAACCTTGTACCTATTTGTTCGTATCTATGACCATATTACATAAGTATTTTATTAGTAAATTCTTTTAAATAAAATTTTATCCCTACCCTCTTAGGGCTAACCAAGACCTCTTCTTATTTATTTATTTTTTTTAATCTTTATTAATAAAGATGAAGACTGTTAGAGTTTTGTTTTTATATGTAGTGTTGGGTTACTAATTGAATGAAAGAACTCATGAAATTTTATAAATGATAATTCATAAATATATGTGTTTAAAATCCTGATAAGTCAAAAAAATATCTGATAGTGGAACAAATAAAATAAATTATATTTTTAAGTTATAAAGATTTGTTTACCCTTTTATTATTAGCATATATATATATTTTTTTTTTTTTTATATCCAATCTTCTTTATTATAGTCTTTACCTCTTGCCATAAAATTTACTGATAGTAAAAATTTCTTTCAGGTTTTCCTCCAGTAAAACCTTCCGAGCACATAAACTACATTACTGCAGCACGAGACACAAGAAGCCAGGTGGGGAAGGTGCTGAAGGAGACACTCCATTTCTCGCTCTACCAACCAACCCGATACTCATTGTCCCTTATTCCTTATTTGAGGGAGCGAGTTTAGTGAGTGGTGGAGGCGCACTCCCACCAACTGATACCGCTTGTTTACTCTTGCCTGACGGAAGTCTTCAGCCAATGGCTCAAGCTATTCCGAGGCCGCTTTCAGAAAAATCAAGGCCCACTTCAACGTTTTCTTCACCTCCTCAGGTATATTTTCAATCTAATACAAATCATTATAATTTATTCATTTAATATTGTGAAAGAATAATTCTAAATAGAATAGTTATATATATGAGTAATTTTAATTTATTTTTATGACTAGTCATTTGTATAAAAATGATTCTGCATAAAATAATCATTAAAATGTAAAAAAAAAAATCTATCTTTAACCTTCTAGAATAATCACATTAAATTGTGTGAAACAGAACTTTCTTAACTTGTTTCTCCTTATTATTAATATCATTAATCTTGCCTTATTCTACTGTGGAGAAATGTTTATACTTGACAATTTAAAAAGGGAAAGAGAAAAAAATATCTAGTCATAAAAAAAAAAATACTAATTAAGAAAATAAAAGGAAATGATTGGAGAATAAAAAATTAAAATAACAGAAATAACTATTAAATCATGGAAATCAATTTTTATACATTTACATAAATACTGGATACCAATTAAAATTTATAAAATTCAAATAACAAAGATTGGCTAATTAAATCTTAGATATCAATTTTCAATTTGAAAGAAATTAAATGACCACATTTACAATATTTTCATCTTCACCATCCCTCAACACCGTAGATATATTTTTATATCATATTCTATTGATATATGGTACTCCTAGCTACTTTAAAATTGCTTTAAACCTATGGCCGACTAAAAACATTTCTTATTCAAATAATAAAATAGAATTAGAATTATTTTTTTATATATAATTACAATTACTTTTATTTTACTGTTCCAAATATTCTAGAAACTAGCAGTAGTTTTAAATATATTGAAAATAATTTTTTTGATAATGCCTGGTAGCGAAAATCTTTACGTAAACTAAATTTGAGTATAGTTCTTAAATTTAAAGTAATATGCTCACCTCATTCTAGCTTTTCTATTAATTTAATTTTTAAAATACATGTAAACATTTAATAATCTTTAAAATTCCAAAGGATTATGTTAGAATCAATAATTATACTCTCAGTTCATTTCAATCTCATGTTGATAAGTTGTTGAAATTCTTGTTTTGAACATGTCAAAATATAAAAATAAAATTGCTAAGTTGTACTTTAAAAGCTGCCTATGTATGTAAAAAGGAAATAATATGATATTTAAATAAACATTTATTGACATTTATTTTTAGGTTGAAAAGCCTGTAGTAGAAAAAGATCCCAAGCGTGAGGGCTCACCTTTAGACCTTAGTTGTAAAAGAACCGAAGAGGTAGATGAAGATGAAAAAGAAAACAGGCAAGAAAATCGGGAAACTGAAGACATTGTCTGTGCACCCTCCATTCCAGCTCTGTTATCTGCATCATCTACATGCTCTTCACCTCCTGTTTCTCCAGCATCCTCTAAACAACAATCTACCAGTCCTAAATCTCCAAGGCCCAATGGATCTCGGACTGAACCAGACTTAAGTTTACAAGGACTTCTTTTAGCTGCTGTTTCTGCACAGCATGTTCCTCCTGAATTTCTGCCACATCTGTCAGCTATGTATTCACGGTTCAAAACAAAACCACCTATTCCACCGATCCCTATCATTCCACCAGATTTAGCTCTTAGGTTAGCATCTGCTGAACTACCCCCACCTGCCCCACCACAAGTCCTTGTCAAACAAGGGGATTCTAAGTGCCAAGAGTGTAATATAGTATTTTACAAGCATGAAAACTATATAGCACACAAGAAACATTATTGTTCTGCAAGGAAGACCGAGGATAAAACTCCAAGTCCTGTGGTTCCGTCCCCTCCTTTGTCAGCTTCTCCTAAAGAAGCGTCAAAAAGCCCAGTAGGACCATCAACTTCTAAAACAATGTACCAGTTTATCTGCGCAGCATGTGGAATAAAATTTACTTCTTACGATAATCTTGCAGCACACCAGACCTATTACTGCCCAAAAAGAAATTCTGTGGATAATGACAAGCCAAGAAAATGTCCAAAATGTAAGGTAAGTTGATTTCAATTAAATGCATACTATAAATGATTGTATGTTGTTTTTATTTTTCTGTGTAATTTGGCTTGTATGGAAACATGCAATCAATTTCGTGTTATTTAATAAAATAAAAGAATAATAAAATATAAGTTCTTTGCCAATAAGTCATCAAAAATTTAGTTTTAACAGTGATTTTAAGGCAAATGATGATCAGGTATCTCTGATTACTTTGAGGAGATTACAATATATTGTTATATATTAATTATAATATTTAAAAGGATATTTCTGTACTTTTATCTGCTATTCTTACTATCTGTTTTAAACGAACAATTTATTTGACAATTTAAAAACATTTTACATCAGATTTGACTGACCAGAACTTAAAATTTTCGTTGTCAAATTATACCTCTTCTGCTTACTAAGATTTTTTCTTTTCAAAATATTTTAAAAATGACTTATATATAAACTTTACTGATTTAACTTAAATAAAAAAATTATCATAGTTAATCAATTGTGCTTTAAAAAAACATAAAAATCATGAGGACATTGTTTTATTTATTTATATCTTATTTAGGTGATAATTTATTATACTTTCTATTAAAACCTTAATAAATCTACCTGTTGTTATAGGTTGCATGTATCGGACCAGATCATGTATGCAGTGCCAATATTAGTACAGGCTGGAAATGTCCATGCTGCCCTCTAACAAGCCCTACAGCAAGTGCAGCACAAAAACACATGGATACACACATTGGAGTGAAAGCATTTTTGTGCACTATTTGCAACTACAAAGGAAATACGCTTCGAGGAATGAGAACGCACATCAGGCTCCATTTTGATAAAAGGCCAGCAGACGTTAATGTACGTCAGATTCAATTTTTTTTTAACATATAATGAATATAATTCTATTAGGAGGACCAGAAAGTAATGTGGTATTCTTACATTAAATTCAAACACATTAATTTCACACGAGTTTTTATTTTTAATCATTGACGGAATCACTCTCATTATCAACAGTCTTTTGCCATCTAATGTGCAAATTTTGAATGCAGGATTGATAAAAATTAATTGGTTTTTGAGTTATATATAGAGATGGCATTTTAGACATCATCTGAATTTGCATATGTTTTGCCACTTAGAAAATGTTTAAACAATCCAAACAAATGAAAATCCAATGATGCAACATCAAGCGATTATGAGCATTAAACAATTCAATATAATTTATTTAATATAAAAATAAAAATAATAAGCTGATCTATAACAACACTGCAAATGTAATGGTAGTATTGCTTGAATTGACAATTTTGGAGTAAATAATTACAATTTTACTTCTGGCACGTGTCAATAATAAATTACAAGCTTAACTTCTATTACTGAAAATATCATTTTCCAGTTACAAACAATATAACAAGAACATTATTTTGTAATTTAAATAAAAATTAAGGAGTATTTATTATAATGAAAGATATATTTTTGAATGGTTTATGTTTAAACTAAACTTACTTTTAAAAATTTAAACTGTTGAATTAATTTTAAATTAAGAAAAAACTAGAACTAATTTAATTTGTTAATTAACACAGGAAGAAAGCTTCATTACTTGTATAGTAGAAGATCCAGTAGCACAGCCTATGGATACAACATCAGAAGAAGATTCTCGAGTTTCTCCCAAAAATGACAAATGTAATGGGGAAGAAGTCAAGGTGAAAGAAGAAGCTAAAGAAGGAGAAGATGAAGAAGAAGAATACATAGAGGTACATACTTCCACAAAACAATTTTTTATTAGATAAGATAACAGATATAAATAATTTGGTACATTATATCTTCCTTTTATATTCATTTTCATCTTTCACACGTTTTGAGGATCTTATCACATCTTTATGATTATCTAACAAACATCATTATATTATATACAATATTTCAAAATCTCTTTACTGACATACTTATATAGTTGTAGTTTATTCTGTATTTTTTTAGTTTTTTTTTTTTTTTTTCTAATAGTCATCTATTTCATATGCATATGTTTTTAAATCAATATTTTATAATTTTAATAATTATCCTGAAGATAATCTTCAGAACACCTGAGAGTCAATGTGAATGATAAAAATAAATATAAAAGGAATAAATAGTTAACAAAATTATATATATATATATATATATATATATATATATATATATATATATATATATATATATATATAATTAAATCTTCCCAAACCAGTGAAATTATTATCAAGAATCAATATGTTAAGGACCCATTCAGATGACCTGACCAGATTGAAGGTAAGAGGGAAGCTCACCCTTCATCCTTTACATTGTTCTTTTACAACTCTAATCCACACTTCTTTTTTTGATGCCATCACTACAATTAAAACCAAGGTTGTTCGGGATTGCTTTAACTGCAATGTAAAATGTGGGCTTACCCAATCTCCCTATCTTAAAGTCAGGTCGGATAGAGTGATTTACATGACCCAATTTCCTACCTTCATATCTATCTTGTAAGATGATCTAAACAGACTAGTATTGAAAAGAAGCAAGAAATCAATATCTAGTTTCAGAAAAAAAATATGCTGTTTTCTTAAATTCATTCATTTGCTGTATTTTCCTTTTTAGATTTCCTTTTGTATAATTAGTTTTAAAAGGAAGTGGGGTGAGAAACAGTTCTTCCGTACTAACAAAACACCAAAACATGAAATTTATGATATATTTATTTTAAATAGATTTTTAAGTTCACTACTTGCCCATGTTACATCACCTCCAAGTTAAACGTGTATAAATTCAGTAATAGTAGACCAATTAAAAGAAATTTTGACCTTAGTATAGCTTAGTGACTGGAATAATCAGTTATGAAGTTTGGAAGAAATTGGACGAGGAAAAGGAATTTTATAAGAAAATATTTTTTCATAATATCAGTTAAATCAGGTCTTTTTATCTTTACAACTACTGGTAGGATTTAAGTGATACTGCCCCACCAGGTCTAGTTCTGCCCATCTCCCCACCTCACCTCCTGTCTCACTTCATGCTCAAATCTACCTAGTGAACAATTACGTTACTATATTACCTCTCATTATTCCCTATTATCATGACTAGAATTGAAGAAAAATTTAATATATTAATAGAAAAATTTCAGGACTAGTAACAAAATTAGATGAAAATATATAAAAAAATAAAATAAAAAAAAAGAAACAGAAAGAGGAAATTATAGAGATAGAATCACAGTTTATTTAGTTAACTAATATTCAAACTTTAAGAGAAAGAGAGGAAAATCGAACTCGAAACATAAATATAATAATATTTGGCTTAGACGTTACATTTTATTGATGATAACTTTTGCAAATTTAATATGTTGTTAAGCTGTTTACTTATTTTTTATATAAATTAATAATTTTACAATTTTATCAAAAAGTACTAAAAATGGATTAGCTTAAGGCATTAAAATTTAAAAGAATACAGTCTAACTTTATTATTTTTAAATATAACTTAAGCTCAGAGGTACAGTTAACCTCAAATGCATGATTTAATCTCACAGAAGGCGAAAAACATTTTGAAAATAAAATTTACTAAGAAAAATAACTTGTGTTGATCTAATCCTGCTTTGAACTATGCCATTAATCCTGACATGAATATTCTTCATTATAAATAACTGCACAATATACCATGTAAGTAACATGCAATCAACTAGTTATTTGATGAGTACATGTTGTGCTGATGGTCTTTGAAACAATAAAATTTCATAGAAGTTTTAATTCCTTAGAATTTTCATTATATTGTTACCGTGAGACCAGTTATTTTATGAAAATTAAGAGGAAAGTATTATCCATAAATAACCTCCAAATCTGCCATTGTGGCAATAAAGTATCCAAACATAGAGATGCTTTCAAGGAAAGGGTAGTCTTATAGTATATACTGGATTATCAATTAATTTCCCATGGATTGTTATATCAGTGTAGTAGTACAATGATCTTTTATAAAATAATTCTGCTCCAAATCCTAAAGACATATTTTGCATAGTTAATTATTATAATAAATTTTTATAGTTCACATATAATAATGAAATAATAAATTTAAAAAAAAACTATACAATTACTAAACATATTGATTTTATATAATAGAGATATTCAGTTTTCTAGTTGAGTAATCGTTTTAAAATTATGAAGTTTTAAATTTCAGAAAATAGGTAACATGTCTTATGTCTAAGAAAACGGAATAATATCATTCAAATATTTTCTTTAATACAGTTGCATGTCAATTAACATAAATATTAGAAGGGTGGTCATGGATAAAGTGATAATTTATGAAGGCATTTCTATGGCAAAGTAGTGAAATACATCAATGTTTTAGGTTTAAAGAAGCTAGAAAATACTTAAAATACTGGAGGATGGATTAGACCTTTCTACCAACTTCTCAATAAATTACTTGAAGTGGAGATCCCAAAAGGTCCTGAAGATAAATAAGAGAATAAGTTATTAAATTTTCTATTTGTTTTACAGGGAGGGGAATAATTCGGGGGATTTGATTAGTTTAGGCATAGCCCAATATAAATATTTTAAATGTATTTGAGATAAATATAACAAATCTTATCTCTTCCCTCTCCATAATATATATATATATATGTTTTTAATAATATTTATATCACAAAAACATTCATTTCTTTACTTGCAGGTCGAGGATGTATCTGTTAAAGCTGAACCAGTGGCTGTAAAAGCTGAAGAAAATGATGAACCTCAAGAAACAGCTGACGATCTTTCACTTAACAATAATAAAAAGTCAGGCCCTCGGTACTGCAAGTCTTGTGACATCTCATTTAATTATCTCTCTACCTTTATAGCCCATAAGAAATTTTATTGTTCTTCACATCTAGGTGAAAACCCAAACAACGCTAGTAATAATAACAATAGACCAACAGGAACACCTGTTACATAGCTATTTAAGTTTTCTTAAAATCTGTTCCAATTTTTGCCACCCAAAGAATTAAGATGTATAATAAAAAGTAGATAAATATTATTAATTTTGTTTTATCCAAGGAGCTTCCCAAGAAATTTTCTATATTCAAAAACTTTTTTAATTGACTGTATTATAATTATTGTATGTAATGTTAATAGTAATTAGATTTAAGTATTGTTTTCATTCCAATAATAGTTTTTGCTTCCAAAGCTATTTATTGTTTATTGTGAGGAATGTAATTCTCAATTTTTTTTCTAATGTGATTTATGTGTAACTTTATAGTTCCCCCTTTTATAGACTATTTAAATATGCTACATGTATATAAAAATTATTGTTATTATATGTGATAGGAATAAATCTTAGTAAAACTATGAATATTGTGAAAGCAACTAGTATAATAATAGCTGTTATCAACATTTATTATATCTTACTTATACATTTTATAAAATTAACTTTTGACTGATGTGATTGAAAACTGGTGTCCGATTCTCTTATTATTTATTGGTAATTGCCATATTACTACATCATCAATCTCTGTTACTGTTTTTTCCTGTTATTTACAAAATAAGTTTTCAAAATAATGAACTAAAGAAAAAATATTTAAAACAAATATTTCGTAATGGCCAGTATTAATATGTATCCTGTACAGTTTGGTGTTGTGTTTTGTGTAAGAAAAATAGTAATTAATTATTGCTATAGATGTAACTATAGTTGAGGAAATTGAATTATCAATACCTCTCAAAGTGTCAGTATATAAAATGAATTGTATGTAAGAGTGTAAAAAAAGTGATAAGAAATGTGCAATGATCCATTCCTCATGTTTCCAGTCTTTTTATGTCTCAATATATTTGAAATATTATGATTGTTACCTGCAATGTAATACTGGATACATAGGCGATAGTTAATCTTTGTAATCCATATAGTCTTCAAATATCCATGTTACATAGGAAAATATACTTATATTTGTAATGATAAATACATGTTATATGATTGTCAATCTACAAACATATAACTCAATCATAAACATTATAATAGGCCCAAAAAGACAATAAAATAATTTATTTCTATTTATTTTATTTTGTTTCACTTCAACTGAATCAAACCAAGAATCAATTATCATGAAGTTTCATCAAAAACAAGGAGAGAATGATAAGGAGCAAGGGAGATAAAATAATTATTGGTGAAAATGTTATTGTTTCATTATATTATTAATCTCAATTTAATAAAAATACAGATGAACTTTTAATATATCGAGCCTGAAGGTTCCTTGTAAACAATTTGATATAAAAATGGTGGTTTTTCTCAATTGACATACATATTTATGCAATACTTATTGAAAACTTTTAAAATTGAACTTTTTGTGTTGCCAGAATTTTTATCACGGTTAAAAGAAGTATAATGAAACAATCTAAGACATAGATGAACTCAATTTTCCTTTAACTATTAATAAATTCTAATTGTTTTCATGTGAGTACCATCGGAAGGAGAATGGAAAACTAAGATCCTTGAAGATCTTTATGGAACCCAAACTATTTCTTCTAATTTCGACTTCCTATTCATGAACAGAAAGTTAAACCTTGATAATGACATTCGTTTTTGTATCCTGATGATGGAATTCACCTTTAACCTTTGTTTCATTTTTGCTTACACCCGAGAATAAAGGAAAGTATAATTATTTTTTTCTTGGATTTCTGACTTCGAATTCAAATATACAGTAGCCCTTGTGTAACTGTAACTTAGCGCCAGCTTTATTTTTTGAAAAAACAATTTTCCTAAAGATTCTTTTAAAAACCTATTAAATCTGATGTTACTAAAAACTCGAATTAAAAAAATATATATGTTAAATACAATTGTTACAAATAAAAAAACATCAAATTGAGTTCTTTCTGGATAAACAAGTTTGTGAAAAGACAGAAGTACACAGGCACAGTTCTTCTCAACAAATTCTGCCCTGTATTTTTAAAATTAGGGTCTTGTGAAATTTAATCCTTTGAATAAGAAACATTTTGGTAAATAAATTAGCTATTATTACTTATTAATCAAAATTATAAAAAGTTTTATTATGGTTAGTGATTATTACATGATAATATAAAACTAAATATTACTAGAATTTAAAAAAATTGTTTGTTAATGGAATATTGCCCAGGTACTTTGTGAACTTATTTTTATCTCATTATAACTTATGATGAAAAATGTTATTTTTTATAAGAAAGTATTTAATTGGTTGTAAAGTTGTTTTTTTAAATTCTGAGTGGTGAGATTAGCAAGGCAACAATAAAAAGTTGTGTTTAAAAATGGACAGAACAACCCAAACGTCAAAAATTTATTAATGAATAAACAATGTGTTGAAGTTCGAGTGTTTTTAATACTTCTGGAAATTAGTCATATATATATATCAAAGATAGAGAACCTTCGATTAGTATAAATGTTTGTATTATTTATTGTTTCATTTTATTAATGAAGCGCTGCAAATTATAACACAATGGTTTATTATTTCCAAATGGTTATGTGCGTATTAAAAATAACTGGTGTGTCCGCTGACCCCCAGCGGATATCTAATATTGATATCTAAATCAATATCTAACAAAATATCTAAAAATTGATATTTTAGATAATATATTTTTAAAAATAAATATCATTATCTCATGGCATTAACTCACTTTACTCACCGAATTCACGTCAAAACGATCAAATAAAAAACAATTTTGCATGAAATTTACTGCCCTCTAAATTCTGCTGTCCAGGACTAGTGCTCTGTTTGCTCCTCCCTAATTCTGGCTGTGGGATAACCCATCCTTGCCCAAGTTGAGTTCTTACAGTGGAGTACCTTTGGGAGTGAGGGGCTCACTAAAGGGGTCTTTGTTTTTAGTTGAGTGATAAGTTTATTGTTATAAACATTACATACATAATTTTTTAATCAGATGTGAACTTATTGTTTTTATTAAATACTTGTCATTTTTTGGAGAAGAAAAGGTGCTAAAAATAAATCCGTCCTCTTAAATCAAACAAGTGAACAACAAATTATCTTTCAAATGAGCATCTGGAATATTTCAGATGTATATTTATTATATTAGTGATAAATATCATCTATTACATAACATAAAAAAGTAGTGGGAAGATAATGAAGTGTCTTAATAAGAAGAAGAAAGCCAGTTTTATTCTGGGATATTTAATCTCCTAAGAGTAACTACAGTGAACAAAAAAAAAAAAAAAAAAAAAAAAAAAAAAAATGATAATTGTCTGGTACTATAAGAAAATAAAAAATAATTAGTTAACGTAACATAATAATCCAACCTTAAAATTAAAATAAATTAAGTACAAGTAAACATACTAATTTGCACATAAATGTATATGAGTGTGTTCATATATTTATTCTGATTAACAACTATATGAACAGAAACAATATTCGAAAAAGTAATACACCTAGGAAATATTGCCACCGGAGAACTGGGTAGAGCCACTTCAACTCGGCATACCAAGCGGAGACGTGAGAGCGCCTGGGGGCTCCAAAGATGAATCGAATGAAACAATTCATTAATCTCCTCAATCTCCACCAGACAGTCCATCATAAACAATGCAGCCATAATCGAAGTGAGGAAAGATGAGTGAGGAAACTAGGAGTTGGGGAGTTTTTAGGGGTATGGAATCAAGGAATCCCGGGAACTGTTTTAGGGTAGCAATGGATTTTCGGATAATTTGGGAAACATGTTTATTCTAGGAGAGGTATTGATCGAAAATTACTCCTAAATTTCTAACACAAGTATGGAAACGAATAGGTAGTCCACTGAGGTAGAGAAGGGGATAGTATGGGATGGAAATAATAAGATGCTAGGAACCAATGAGAATGGCTTTGGTCTTCTCACCTTTTAACTTTAAATTATTACTCGCTGACCAAGTGGTAATACTGTTTATATCTTCTTGTAGTCTTCAAATCACCTCAAGCATCTCAGTAGGATAAAAGGAAAGGTAGATTTGGAGATCGTCAGCATACAACTGGTACTGTGAATGGTGGATGGAATCGGGAAGGTACTTGATGTATATAGAGGAAAGAGTTGGAGATAGTGAAGATCCTTGAGGAACACCACGAGCTAGTGAGAGGTGAGAGGGGGAGGAAGGGGTTTTATTGGAAAGGAATAAAACTGTGAATGGACTTTCAAGAGGTTTAGAAAGGTTTGAGAAGATGGAGATGAGTCTGTAATCAGAAACTTTGGAGGGAATCGGAACTTTGCTCAATGGGCGGACTATAACGTTTTTTGAAGCTGATGGAAAACTGGAATTTTGTAGGAGAAAATTGTAAATATGCAATAGGATGGGAAAGATGAAAGGGAGACATAGTTTGACTAATTCCACTGGGATTAGATCTGGACCTTAGTCATTTGTTCTGGATTTGAGGACAGAGGAAAGCAAATCTTCCGGTGAGAAATATGTAAAATAAAAATTTGTAGCATCAAAGGAATTCTCTATATATACTCTCCTTGAGGAACACACTATAAGTTTTTTTTTTCTATTCCTTTGTTTTGAAATAATGATTCCGAAACACTATATTTTTCTAGGGGCTTGCTTTTTTTTTTCTTTTTTTTTTTTTATTAGTAATTGGATGAGCAATAATACTTTTAGGAATAATTTTAAAATATTTTTTCTTGACACAAGCTTACTTTGAGGGGGCTTTGCCCTGGAAGCTCCTCCATCTCCCTCCTGTGGAATGAGTTGTCTTCATAAATGACCGAGAAAAAGGCATTTGAAATCTGCAATCGACAAATATTTTTAAACGAAGTGATGGATGGTAATGTTGAATGCCGAAGACCATACTGGGGTAATCAGTGATTTGTTAATCTAAAAATAAAATCAGGCAAGCAGTATCGGAGGAAAGAAACCGGTGACAGATGGAGGGATTTCTTAGTAATTTAATTTTTCGATTCTATGCATTATGTCGAATTTCAGTAGACTAAGGCAATTGTTAACAGTTCTCATGTAATTTTTGGCAATGAATCTAATGAGGGTAATCAATATGAATATCTCTAACGGTCAAATGTCGAATAATTAACAAGTTACATAGGTCGAATATCAAAAAAAATATATTTATAACAAACAACATTATTTTAGTTGTTCATTGGAAGTACAGGGGGATCTTCGGGTGGGGAGGGATTTCGGGCTAATCCTCCCCCTCTTCTCTCTCCAAAATGGTAAAATATAACCATGTTTTATAGAAAAAATATTAAAAACTATCTTTTAAAGTATTATTGTTCGTGTAATTATATTTAATAGAACTTTAAGAAGAATAATCGCTTTAACACCATTTCATATAGTTAGCTTCTTTCTTTCTATCAAATTAATTATATATATATATATATATATATATATATATATATATATATATAAATCTTTCAGGCTGAAGTTCTCCCAAAAAAAAAATAAATAAATAAAAAATCATATACGTCTTCTTCTAAAGTACCTTTAGTATGGTTTATTTTAAATAATTAACTATTTCTCATTATTAAGAGCTACTAAAAAATGCTACATATAACTTTTGAAACAATTTGATAATTGAATAAAGGAGAAAAAAATAAAAATGTTTATCCAGGTATAAATGAATCTACAAAATTAGTGGTCAGAAGGTACACGTATAATATATCTTTGGAAAGCTGGGAATTTTATAAAAAAACAATATCTAATATAGAAAAAAAAAAAAGGAATTAAATCATGGATCCACAAGAGATTAGAAGTGTGATTCTTATTTTTAAATAATAATAGATTAGTTTTTAAAATGCTACAAACATACTTCACAATAAATATTTATTTAAGATTTTAAGATTTTGGCTTTTATTAGCCACTTCAAAAATTCCAAATTAAAAAGTTCTTAAAATAACACTCAATTTATCACTGTATACGTGTGCATATTAAAATAATAAAGAAAACTAAATCATATTTTTAACCATACTTGTCATATTGGACATTACAAGTAATTTCTAGGTTATTCCTGAGGAGAAAATTTGACTGAACAAAGGGAAATTTTAAATAAGATGGAAACGTTGGTTGAAAAATAGGTATGAACAAAAAATAAAAAGCGTTTG